CTCCTACATTAATGCCCTTTCTACTGCTCCCGAGTAAACTTTAATGAACTGCGCCGTGACCAACGGCCTCATCCGATCATTAAGACCAGAAACAAACTTCCGAGTCTTGTAAGCTTCATCTCTCACCATTTCTGGAGCAAAACGGGAGAGTGAAGTAAATTTGTTCTCATATTCCGCCACTGACATGCTCACTTGAATAAGGTTATTAAACTGGTCTTGTAACTCCCATCTTTTGGAAAGCGAAAAATACTTCTCATAGAACAGTTCTTTGAACCTGTCCTAACTCATCTCCTCCACCTTATACTGGTTGGTGACTGACTTCCACCAAACCTTGGCATCTTTAGCAAACTTGTAAGTAGCTAGGATGATCTTCAAATGATCCTTCGTCACATCCATTGAGGTCAACTGAGTCTCAACTTGATCCAGGTAGTCATTTGCTACCATTGGATCCGCACCGCCCTCGAACATAACTGGCATCAACTGAGAAAAACCTTTAATAATCTTGAGACGCTTCTGAGCTGGTGTCTACTCAACTTGAACTATAGGTTGTGGTGCCGACTACGACTGAGTAGCAATCGTTGCCCTCACGACATTTTGCAACAAACGATTAAACTCCAGTGCCACAGAACCTTCACCCATTTCTACGGGTGCTTCAACATTATCCCTCCTCGGGGGAACAACTCTTGGGGGAATCAAGTCCCTAAGAAGCGTGTCCTCATCGTTTAGCTCCGCCGGATTGGAGCTAGAGCTCTCGCCAACATCACCCTTTGTTGGCCTAGGGCTAACTTCACTTAACTCTTCACGTCGTGACATCGTGCTATAAAACGAGAGAACGGTTCAAAAACATGACGCTAAAGTCTACCGTGGACGACTCAACATAAAATGATGACGTACCAACACTTAGCATGCATAACTATACAAAAAACACTTTAACGTAACATTTAAGCACATAAGCACATAGACAGTTAAACATACTTGTTCAAATAAATAAACACGTAGCAAGGAATCACGTAAACAATGTAAACAACACCCCACGCAACTCTATATAGGCCTCTACCCGTCGCCCCAAAGGTTTTCGAAGCCATGCTCTGATACCATTTTGTAACGACCCAGCTCCTCATGGATCCGGATCATTAAACGGGTCCTAACCCGACCCAAAAACATCCAAGGGTGAAACGGTAATTTCACGTCAAAATTAAATAACAAGGTCCAAAAAGGGCAAATTGGTAATTTGCCATGAATCCATAAATTGAGACTCAAGGGTATAATAGTCCTTAACTTGAATCACGAAGTAAATAAGATAAGGTTCAGGCAAAAAAAAATAATTATGGCATTTAATTGGGTCATAATGTAATTACTTGCAACATCAATTGGGTGCCAAGTGTAATTTAAGAACTTAAATTGGCAATTACATAAAAAGACAGAACCGGTCGACGTATACTCCTTATACGTCAACTGGTTTGGGATATAAACAGTGGGAAAACCCACTGCCATGATACCGGTCGACTGGTTTGGGATCAGGATACCGGTCGACGTATAGGATGCCATACGTCGACTGGTTTGGGGCGTCAACAACTCAAACATACTGTGAAGATACCGGTTGACCGGTTTGGGTTATACGTCGACCGGTTCTTGAAAATCTTCACTCCCACTTTCCACTGTCCTGTGTAACCCCTGTACACCAACTTTTGATCGTTCAACCACCCACGTCACAACACTTCCGTGCAAAATTAATATATTTCAATAATAAATTGGAGTACAACAACCACGTTATTAACATAATTTTACCACACGTCACTAAAATACACTAAACTGATTTTGAGTGAGTAATACTTAATTACATTTTCTCAAGGATCATTCACAAACTTAATTACATTCGCAAAACTATAATTACACATGAAATAGCTATATACAAGATAGTAAAAATCATCTTCTAACAACTTTTAATTTTGAGGTGGATTAGCATCCGCCGGTTCTTTTCGAAGACCTGAAAAAAAATATAATATATAGTAGGTTGAGCTATATGCTCAGTAGGTGACACTTAAGACACACATCTTGTGTCTTTGTGAATCCAATCAAAGCATAGGCCAATGGGAAATGGGGATCATGCAATGTAGGGTTAAAATAACTTCAATGTCAATTCCAAGTGTAAACAATGCAATGCAATGAGATGCAATGCATGATATGTCACTCCCCATTTTCATTTCTCAAAACCATACTTTCCAACTGTTAATACAGCCCGCCCTTTGGTAATCCCGCCGCGACACGAGAGGAGGATTGGTTAGTGTCCCTGACCCTTGGTAACCCCGCGGCGTCATTATGGGGCCCAGCTAGCTCAACCACGCTAGGGCGACTCCCTAGTCCCCTCTAGGCTATATTAACCTCCGGCCCGTTGGTAACCCCGCAGCGACCGGGTTTATCAAAACCATTTCACAAAAACTCTTCTCCCAAAATTCCCGTTTTCATTTCAAAAACTGATTTCTCCCATTTCATGCAACCGAATGGCATGTACATGTATATGTGTCTCAAGCTTACAATATTATGGCATGTAGAAGTTTTACATTTCATAATTACTTCACAACTAAGCATATATCATATTCAACATCATCAATTGAGTCATCAACACATTAAATACAACAAAATTATCACCACAACATGCTTTTTCACATAGAACAAATCATAATCAAAATCATGAATTTTTCTAGACATCAATTACACAACATTGAAACAATTAACTCTCAAATTAAGCATATTTATCACACAAAGGAGATATAACTCACAATGGAATAAGAAGGAAGTGGATTAAGGGCCCCTACCTCAAGTTTGCACCAAAACCCTAAAGATGGGTCTCAATTTCGAATTCCCTAGGGAGGCCCAAAGTTGGAATTGATGGTACTCACACGTAGAGCTTGTCGTGCTCTCCGTTTTACCTTAAACGGCACCTTAATCCGCCAAGAATTGAGAGAATAATCAAAGCTCAAAGATTGCCTTTCAAGTGGAAAGAAAAAGAAAAGGAAAATGAGAGAGGAAGAGAAGCTACGGGAGAGAGAGAATGTGTGGAGCAAAGAAGTGTGGTCTCAAGACCATTTTAAGTGTGAGTGGTGAGCCCCACCAGATTTTCTTTTCTTTTCCCTTTTTCTTTTACTTCAATTCTACACCACATACACACACAAGTGAACCACTACATAAAAATACTACTCAACCCACATAAATTAAAATGCACAATCCAAATGGACCCAACCACAATCCCGAACACAACATGCGAAAAGACAAAAATACCCTTGTCTCCACGAATTATTGGAAAAATGAAAATACTGAAAAAACAGAAACATCACAAGTAACCAATTATATTTCAATGCCCAATTACTCACACTAACATAACATTTAGGCTTAACTCCTACTACTCCCACAAACATAGTATTTAAGAGGTTTAATTCACACACTTCTTGATTTTACATAACCTTTACAATCAAGACTATTTACTACGCCACTAACATAAAATGCACACATATATGCATCATGTATACTAAATACTTGAAAATATTAATTGCTACTAAAATTCTAAAATCAAGTTTATTTTCAACAGAATAGACACATGCAGATAGGGCCACTTTTTATTTTTTGGAAAAAAAAGGCATTGGGGTCATTCGAGTGAGCACCAACCCATTCAATAAAAGAGGTCCAGCAAGGAAAGGAGGTGTAGATGCCACATTGGTGTTGAAATGATTCCAAATAACTTAAGGGCTAATTTGGTGTGGTGGAATGGAATGAGAATGGAGGTGGGAATGTAATAGAATGGAATGGTCATTCATTTTGTTTAAAGGTGGAGTGATTTTGATGGAATGACTAGGGGAATGATGATTCTAACTTTAAAATTGACAACAAACACGAGAATGGAAAAATAATCATTCCATTCCACCTTCTTTTATTCCATTCTACCATACCAAACTAGCCTAAGAGAATAGACAGTGGAAGAAAAGGCAATAGTGGCTAAGGCAAAGGCAAGGCAACAAACATTGGGTTGGTTGATTGGTTGATATAACTTTTAAACAACATTTATTAGCCATCATCTCATTACTAGTGTAGATCAATTGTCATTTTAATTATATTTAAAAAAGAATTTAACTACCGACAAAAAAAAAAAAAAAAAATGAAGAAGAAGAAGAACGTTGGAAGTGTCAAGAAGGCCATGCGAGGGTTATCTAATATTGTAATCTTTTCCTAAACAGCAAACTGCCTTCGAAAGGCCATGTGAAGGTTCTCCAAATTGGAAGCTTTTCTAGGACAACAAGCCAAAGTATAAACGTATACGAGTCTTTGGGAAGATTGCAAGGTTGATTGCTTAGCCAAGCCCAAGCCATTTCATGGCAAAATGAGAAGAAAAAAAAAAGCTAACTTAAAAGAAATCTTTACTCACAAAAGGCTGGAGCACCAGTAATCTCTTGAAATCACTCAGATACTAGACTATTAGTGCTATCTCCAATTCTTTGGTCTCAACTTATTGCTAATGTTGCAGTGGATTGGAAGGGAAATTCTATTATACTGCAGAAGATAAGGAAGCCATTCTTGGTGGCAAATGTATACTGTGTTTGAAGGAGAAAATGCAAGAATCATTAAACATCAAGCAACGGGATGATGGCTTAATCTTTAGTCCTACTGTCATCCGAGTATATAGGTCCTTGGTTAGGAAATGGAGCCACCCAAATTTTGTGCTTAGAGGAGTTCATCAAAATTGTTGCCAATAGCCTTGTTTTATCATCTAATTTTTTATTTGATTTGTTTTTCTTCTAAGATGTGCAATAGAAATATCGATTCTGTTGTTTGTATATCAGTTGCCCAAAACTAATTAAACAGTAGGAAGAAGAAATAGCTGATCAAAAAGGAAGAAGAAATACATAGAAATATTGTTTCCGGTGTTAAATATGTCGAGTCAACCGTTCACAATTTATATATATTAAAAAAAAAACGGGAAACAACCATAAGAAAATCGCTTGTATACCCTAACAAAATAAGCCTTGATCAAGTAAAACTAGGCTCTCCATATAAGTATCCAAATAAAGTAAGTCTTTTCGAGACCACCGGATTCCAAGATCGGTTTCTTTCTTGCTCGCAGTATCGAATGAAGCCAGCTTATGGTGAAAGCATGTCACAACAACTTCACCAGTTCCCCTAAATCCCAAAACCCTTTCTATTGGTTCTTTGAAAGTAAATAAATTCATCCAAGACTCCACAATACCATAATCTTTCATCACCCACATACACCATCCTGGAAAGGGAAAATCCATACGTTTATGGAATAGAGATAGAGATTCTCCAAAAAGTGAAATTGACATCTTCAACCTACTGCCATTAGAAACGGTACCCGGAAGCATCATATCAAACGACAAGATCAAATAGCTATCCTGTTCTTCTCCCGCCTCAATTGCTAGCCAATGGGAAGCCCCTTTAACAAAAACACACTTTCTAACATCAGAACAACTTTTGGGAGTCATGTCATACGGAGGAACAACAGCACGACTGCCTCTCCACAAACCAGTTTTTATCTCATATACCTCAACCTCTGCTGGAAGTATAATATTCAAATTCGAATCCCGATAATGCACCATTTTAATAATCTTGAAATCATTAGTCCAAGAATTAAATCCAAACCCAACAACAGCACCAACAGCACCGTATTTAAGACGATTGGGGAGTACACTAGGGGGATCTGGAACATGCAAGGTCTTTCTAATGGCTGGATTCCAAACAACAGTAGTATAGCTTTCATTACCGTATAAATCATTGGACAAACAAATCAACCCATTACATGAACCCACTATCCTGTAATAACCTGGTGAGTGCATATTATAAGAGCTATCGTCTCGTCATCGCAACGTACTGAGAACCACTCTTCAAAACTGTGGTACCTGAGTAATAACTGAGGCTTCTTGTCTGCAATGGTTCGGGTTCGATTCATGTGTGCTGTGATGAAACTAGGGTTCTTGATTAGAGCGTTCCATGATTTGCAAACGCATGTGATGTGCACGATAGTCTTTATCGGTAATCTCGTGCAGGTTTCAGTCAAGAGTTCTTCAGGTAGCTTCTCGAAGGACGACATGGTTAGCCTCTGATGGTCAAAACCCTAAAAGTTGAGAACCAAATTAGCAACCAAATTATCTTTGAGTTGGTGACTTTTTTATAGCGCCCCCAAATCAGGTCTACAACTCAGACGGGTGCCGGGTTGGAGCCCAAACCATGTTCTATTTTTATACTGGTATTTGAGATTTTGAGTAAGAAAGTCAGGTTAATTGGTCACTACACTCAAAATTTAATTTGGTCTTGAAATAATTTCAGATTAAATTAGTCCTAAACACAAATATATATATATATATATATATATATATGTATAAATTACGATTTATACAAAGAAATTTGAAAAGAAAAAAAGGGTTCATAATTTACTAAATTTGAAAAGGAAAAAGGTGATCATAAATTTGTAAACATGTATTGTATTTGAAATTAAAAAATATATATCAAAACAATATTACAATTCAAGTTCGAGTTATACTCGGGTTGCTAGCAGCTCAACACAAACACAACCCTAAGTAAGGCCAAACCAAAAAATGTACAACCAACCAAGCATCATAAACTATTAACCAAAACTCTACACCAAACAACACTCTATTGTCTGCTGCAGCATCCACAATATAAAGCACAATCCATCCAGTCCACAGCAGCAATAGTTACCACAATGGTCATCTTCATAATAGGCTTGAAGAGAACCAAGTATGAGCACCTGGAAAAGCACATCCTTGCAAGAACAATTGTAGCAGATCCTCCTGGTTGCGTGAGAGTCTAAGATTAGTACCCCTTCTGAGCATCAAAAATGCAAGCTTAGCTCTAACTGTTGACGCCCATTTTGGTAATTGGGTTTGGGTTCTAATTAGGCTGATGAACAGTGACATAGTAGAGGTTTGGGTCGAGAGAATACTGGGCTGAAACATGTGGTAATGAGTTTGGGCTAAAAATTCAGCATTCAATGTAGTTAGAAGCAGCTTGGGCTTCGCATGGATTATATTTGAAAGAGCAGCAGATAGGATTTGGTTTGAATGACATGGCAGAGTTTACATAAGAACCAAGCTACAAGCAAGGGCACTGCAAATTGGATAGAAGATGTTTGAACTTTAAATACATTAGATAAGAGTTATATATTTATCCTATATTTAAATATTAGTTAAGAATTGGTATTCAGTTAGGATTAGTTTGATTTGAATAATTATTTAGTTGCATTATAATACAACTAGGATGCTTGTATGTAGGAGTTTGTTTTACCATTCTTTCTATAAATGAACAAAGAGGCATGCTGTACTAGAGGTCCAGCACCCTCAGAATCTTATTATTATTTTGTTTACTTTCTCAAGCTCTTTCCCAAAATAGCATCCTTGCTATTTCTTTCTCTCCCTATCTTTATCTTTCTCAAAATCTCGTTCTATCTCTCTCCCTCTAAATCTCTCTTTCTCTTTATTTCTTTCTATATCTACTTCTTCCCCTTTCTATTCTCTCAAAATGTTACTATAAGTTATTCATTGAAAAGTCTTTTTAACTAAGGCAGTTAGAACTCATTAAGGATTATTTTTGTTCTTTTTATCCTATAATCGCCTGATAGTCAAATTTATCAAAGAGACTGCAAGTTGACTATTCGCAATTGAACCATATTATTGATTCTAGCACGCCCGCAACATCTCAATTTAAGATCGGCTCGAGCCAGTCAATTTTAGCGTCAACATTTTTGGCATGCCCAGTAGGACCCCATCAGATGAGTAATTATAGTAAATATGTGACGACCCTGGTTTTTAGGCCAGGGTCGTCACAGGTGGTATCAAAGCTCCTAGGTTCGAAAATCTTAGGACGACGGGTTTTGGGTGCATATCATGTTTGTGTTGCCATGCTCTATGTGTTTAGTTGCTTCTTGATAACTTGTTTACGTGCTTATGTGGACGTATGTTTAGAAGTTTACCTTAACTATCACAGCATGATACATATGCCTGTTTACTTTAGTACGTTGTATATACTTGTAGATCTCAACATGTTGTATGTGCTTGTCCGCCTTAGCATACGGTATATGTTTGTCGGCTTTTGGACGTTGTATATGCTTGTTTGTTTTAGCATATTGACTTACGCTTGTCTACTTTAGCGTATTGCATGCACTTGTTATTCTTAGTATGATAGTATGATGCATACATTGACATGCCTTATATGACCTTACTACTTGTGTGAGTATGTAGTTTATTGCTATGTTACATGTCAACTGCTTACTTTTATGTCTTGTTTAGGCATTGTGGGTTGTTCCAGCTTGGTTGGTTAAGATTGATGCTAGGGCATCATTTCTTGGGGTTTTGTGGTAACCTTGATGTGGTGACGTCATTGGGGTCTTATTTCTAACGTCATGGGACGACGAGTCGGATTGACTCGAGTCCTTCCTTGGGGATTGGAAGTTTTGTCTTCGTAGGCCTTAACGGCGAGGTTCCCGTGCCCTTTGTTCTTAGAGTGGTGGTTATATCTTGTGTGGCTTTAGGATCCCACCTTGTGTTTGAGCCAGTCTTGGGAAAGACTTGTAGACACTTTGTTTCAGGAACCTTAGTGTTCATTCTAGGAGATGATTCACTTCCTTGCTGTGAGGGATTGGACTCATCCGGGTTTTGGGATTCACTTTAGTGAGTTTGTTCTTCTGAGAGGCATTTCATCCTTTCTTGCTTTTAATTTTGTGGGATTGTTATTTGCATAGTCATTCTTACATGTTTATATGCCTTGTTGTTTTGAGCATGCCTTAGAAACATGTTAGGGGATGTGACTATTTGATGGCTATGTGCTTGTATAGATGGTGTGTTTTCTATTTACTATATCTGTTTGTCATGTTAGCGTTATAGGTGATGTGTAGTATGTCTCTGATGCTTGACCCCTATGTGATAGGTAGCATACTTAATTGCCCTTATACACTATGTGTTTCGTTGTTTGGTGCATGAATTTTCATTACGTTTAGTATACTTCTACCTAGTATGCTTGTACGTTGCTTATTTCATTTCGTTTTGGTTTAGTATACTTGAGCCGTATACGTGTCTACCATGGATTTAGTACTGCATAGTATACTTGTAGAGTGTATACTTGTGCATATACATATATTGTATTTCCATTTTGATATTTCTTAGTATACTTGTGAATGTATACTTGTATAGATATATATATGTTTCATGACTAATTGCCTAATTAGTTCATTTCTTTTGTTATTCCTGTACTGTACTCGGGGTTGTATAACCTTGGTTGTCGGGATTGTTTGTGTGAGCTTGATCCAATGTCTTGATTATTAGGCGTAGCCTTGTAGTAAGTCAGCTTTAGCATGACGTGGAGGAATTTGGGTGCATTGTCTTGTTGGGAGTTATTGTGACCAAGGCAATGATGATGTTGTTTGATTTGTAAAGTCCGATCCATTGGCTTGAAGGCATAGACTTGTCATGCTTTGGATTCGTGACTGGTGTGGTTGACAACAGTGTTTTGAGACTTGGGGTTGTCAGTTTTTTCAGTATTGAGGATTTAAGGCCTTAAGCGTAGCCGTGCCTATGACATTGTTGTCAGAGTTTTGGATTAGCCAGAATGGTCCGGTCGGACATTTTGGACCATATCGCAACTCTCACAGAATGCCTGGTTTCCGTGGTGCTTTTGGTAATAATTGTTTGACATTGATGTCATTTGTATCGATAGGTTTCACGGGTGAGCTTGTTGGGGGCAGGTGATGAATTAGGGTTTTATACTGTCATGCTGCCGTACAGGTTGTGTGTAGGCGAGTGCTAGTTGCCGTCGATGCTATCTTGCATTACCTAGCTAGTAATGTGAGTGTGGACGGGCACTTGACACTGTGGATGCTACCACACCTTGGGTACGTTGTGGGCGGGTTCTAGTCAGTATTCGTGCTGCCATGTTGCTTCTGGTTGTGTTCCTTATTTAGTTATGTAGTTGCCATGATCTCTTTTGGGTGGTTGACATTGGGTTAGTATGTCAATTCGTTGGAGAGGTGTCTCACTATTCGCGGTTTCGTGTCTCTTCGTTGATTTTGAGACCTTTGGAGTTGTCCTTAGGTACTTTATGATTTGTTCTTTCGTGTGATCTTGTGTACGATCCTTCTTTGGTTCTTCTAGGAATGTTCCTGATTTCGGGGACGAAATCTCTTTAAGAAGGGTAGGTTGTAATGACTCGGTTATTTCCTTCCTTTTCTTTTTCCTTATAATTTCACGGATGAATTTTTTTTGTTGAAATTTCTTGTCTGAGTTCAGTTTCTCGTCGCTTAGTGTCGTCTCAAGTGCTCGAAAATGATTTTTGAGACTCTTTCCTTTGGATTGACAACTTCCTTTGAGGACCGAGTCATTTCCATATTTTTTGTTTTTCGACACTATTCACTTTTCGTCCTTTTCCCTATTTTGTCATTTTCCTTATTTTGTCTTTTCCCCGTTTGTCACTTTGTTAGTGTAACCTCACTCCTTGTGTTCAGAGTTGGTTTTTGACTTCACGTGTCTTCATTCTAAGTAGTTTCCATGAATTACGTATCTTTACTTTTGTAAGAAAGTACTCTGGTTGCTCCCGGTGTCCATAGGGGCATGGATGCAAAGTTCTTTGGAATAATTTTCTTTTCTTGGGGTGTTTTTCGTAAATATCTTTTGAAGATATTTTATTTTAGGGGTTTTTAAGAAAATATTTTTGGAAGATATTTTCATTTTAGGGCATTAGTGCAATTAACCCTTTTTGAAGGGGCCAATTTGTAATTAATGAAAGTTATTGTAAAATACTTCGTTTTAGGCCTGGATCCTCGTACGGG